CTTAGCAGGGAGTTCGAGATGAAAGATTTTGGGGCAACTACAAGGATTCTAGCATGGATATTCTACCGAACAGGGAGGATTGAACGTTAAAGCTGTCTCAAGGAGATTATCTTGAAAAGGTACTCTCAACTTTCAACATGAGTGACTGTAAGGCAGTCACCACACCTTTGGTAGCTCAGTTCAAATTTAAAAGCTTAGATGAGAAGGTAACAAAGATAAAAGCTTCATACATGGTAGACGTGCCATATGCAAGCGCTGTTGGCAGTCTCATGTAGGCCATAGTTGGTACACGAACAGATATCGCTCACACTGTAGGAGTAGTTAGCAGATTCATGGGAATCTCTAGTTGAGAGCATTGGAAAGGAGTGAATTGGATACTTAGATATATCAGAGGAACTACTAATCATGGGTTGTGGTTCAAGAATGGAAAAGGATTCAAAGTATAAGGGTTCAGTGACACGGATTATGCAATTGATCTTGACAGAAAAGATCAATTACAGGTTACACGTTTCAAGTTGGTGGAAATACAATCAGTTAGAGATCAGGGTTCCAACCAATCGTAGCTCTATCTACTACAGAATTAGAGTATATGGCTTTAACAAAATAAGCAAAAAAGCACTTTGGTTAAAAGGTTTATGCAAAGATTTAAGCTACAAGCAGGGTTTGTGAAAATTGACGGTGAAGAATTTGTGAAAATTGAGAACTCCGACTCTCCTCAGACGTAGCGATTAGAAGTCGTGAACTGGAAAAACAAATCTCGAGTTTTTCTAATTCAATCGTAAACAATCGTCCAAGATCAAACTTGAATCTAATAAGTAAACTTTAAACGTAACAGATAATTTTTAAGGTTTTAGATTCATCGACCTATATGGCTGAACTTATCTTCTTCTCTTCTTTCTTTATCGATCTTTCCATATTTTGTATAAGTGTTCCTTCTTCTAAATGTTCCCATATTTTGTATAAGTGTTCCTTCTACAAATTGTTCTTAAATGTGAATTGTTAGTGGCTGTTTAATCACTTAATATATTGTTTCCTTCCGTCCATTTTTGTTGCTTTTCCCGTCTAGATTGTTTTTATGGCAGTCATTTTTAGTAAGGAATCAAATTTGCATTTCTCTAATGTGGGGAATTTGAGGAACATTTTTTTTTCTTGTTATAAGGCTTTCTTTGGTAACTAGTATAGAATAAAAAGCACAAGTTCAAAAGTAAAGGATCGTTTTACATGAAAATAAGCGACGGTTTTATCTATATATCTCTCTATAAACTAAGACAAAATTAATATAAAACTTTTTTTGTAAGTAATACGAGTTTATTTACTGAATCTTCACCTCATTGATATATAATATGAGGGCGAGACAAGAGCTAGTTGCCCGAGGAGAAGCAGAACCTCATGTGATATATTCACATGACCTATGCAACTAAAAGAAGGTTACATTGAATTTTAAATTACATGAATCTGTAAGTCAGATTTTGTCAATAAAGGTACCCTTTGCAGATCTAGAAATATGAAGGAACTCTTCTGATCTTATAAATTGCACATGAACAGTCCATTAAACAACAATATTTAAAAGCATATATCACATATAAAATTGTTTTTTTGAAGATAACTTATCACATATAGATTGTTATAAGCGTAAAAAATTCATATCATTATGTGCGCAAATAAGTTTTAAGACATTTTATGTGTTCGTATTTCAAATAAGATTATTTTACTATATTCAAATAAAGGAGCACTAATAAAGTTTAAATATGGAACAAATGCTATATTTTGAGGGAATAGAAGAGAACACAATGATAGTTGTTGTGAGAAGAAGAATATATAAAGAGATGCATGGCATGCAGAGAAAGTTTCCAGTAGTAACAATAAGTTGAGAATAGTTACAAAAAGAAGAACAGAGAAAAAACCTCTGTTGATTAAAGAAGGAGAAGAAACCTCATAATGAAAAAAGTGTTGACCCAATTAGAAAAGGTTAAAAGAAGGTGGCAAAAAAGGTAAATGCAGAGTAATTGAATTGGTATATACTAAAGTTGTAATTATTGAAATAAACAGATAAAAAGAAATGATTGTTTGAGAAAGCAAGAGAAGGAAGTGGTGGGTGAGGAAGGGATCGTAATGTCAGAAAAGAAAGAAGGAAGAAGGTGTCACGGGTTTGCCTTGAAAGCCACTTTTTCATTCTTTATCTTTTTTTTTTTTTGGACGACCATTCTTTATCTTTTTAATTTATTTTATTTCAGACACTCAGACACATATTCCCCCTCCATCTTCTCAGTAATCGAGGTTGCTAACTTCCAAATTATTTTTTTTTACATTTTCACACTCATTTTGATAGTTCAACAAAAAGGAAAGTTAAATTAAAAAAAAAACAAACAGGTAAGTTTACAAAACACAAACCAATTAACAATTACGATTTTACGGTAATTCTAATATCTCGCTTGTCATTTAAAAGTGACAACTATACTTTTGATAGCTAGAGTAAGAAAAAAAACGGTTTGTATCATGCGATCGACCTATATGGTATGTTCCATTTAAACTTAACTACTGTTTTGTATCCAAGACACCAGATCCATTTTTTTTCTTTTTTGTCAACTTCATTTTATTTATATATTGTAAAAAGTATAATACAAGAAGTTTTGTAACCAAACAGGAGGAGCATTGAAGTTATGAACAGATCCATTATTTTGTTATGTGCCGGTAAGGAATAAAGTTAAGATTTTTAGCAACAATGAATACAGGTAAGCTAATATATTTTTCCTTCGTAATCTCTACTCAAGAATAAAGTTAACTGTTATAAGTTAGATTTTTATTAATCATATAAGTTTTATGAAGAGATACGTACAGCCTAACGATAAAAGAACAAATATATTAAATCTAATATAAAAACATTACAACCAATTATAAAAAAAAATTCACCAAATATATTGATAGAAATCCTTATATCATATCATTATTCCTTTTTCCGATTTGAAACTTGTTTTCAAGCCCCAACTTATTAGGTATTCCCCTATCAATTCCCACGTTTGTGTTTAAGATTCAAACTGATTGACTTCAACCTATTCTCTCTCGCCCTCCTCCAAAACTCTTTTATCAAATATCTTGTAAGTGCTCGCTCTCATATTTCAGCTTTTTTAATTTTCAAGATCATGGACGTTTTCTAGTCAACATCCTTGATTTACTCCTTTAAACCTTTGGAAAGAGAACTCATCCACGCTAACGAGGACTGTGCCTTTTGAGCTGAGAATTGAGAATCTTAATTCGTTGTGTATTTATGTTTTCTGTTCAACATGTCTAATATCAAATTGATCACCTTGACACGGCAAAAAAATCCCCAGCGTCACCTGCTCTTCGTATAGTTCTTCCATCGTTGTGTTGGTCTTCTCATGCACCACCACAATAGTCGTGTTCAACATTTGCCTTTGTTTGTGCATGTTGTTTCCCTTAATTAGGCTAAGATGAGTGTTTCAAGGATAGATTTGTATCTCGCCATTGTTTCCTGAAATGATCTTATGTCCTCTCTTATCTTTCTGATCTGCTCCATTAAGAGAACGATCATGGTCAACACATGCAAAAAAGTTTCCGTTGGATCCTTCTACTCTGATACTAAAACGATATATGAGCCAATTTAATTTTGATCTACCAGTCACAACCGTTGTTTTAACGTGAAAGAAAGTAGAGGAAAAAATTACTTCAATTTTCTTTACTCATAATATATATATTTCCAGAACAAAATTATTACTGATAATTGGTTTGTAACTAATAATAATAAAAATATAAAAAGATATAATTTAATGGTAATAAAAAGCTTAAAACTGATATAAAATAGAAAACATCAAAACCAATTGTAAAAGAAAATCCTCTAAAACTCTCAGCCGCAGTATATCTTATACTGAGATGTTACGGATTCATGGGATATTATCGCCAAACAGTTTTTGTAAGGTGAACAGACTAGTCCATCATATTCAATAACTGAAAGTTATACATTGTGAATATGAAATGTGAACGTGTAATTTTGTTATATTCCACTGAAGCGGTTATATATGATGAGATTTTCAAACGGTGTATTTACATCTTTGTTTATAATTAATATCTAAACTTAAGTAAAGAAACACTAAGAGGCAAGGAATCAGTTGCATATGTTTCTCGTTAATAAGACAAAGTTAAAATTATTCAAGTAGAATCACTCTTTTACGTATTGGTCAATAGTCTAATCAATTGACATCCATGACATTTCTTTTCTGAATCAAAGCTTAATCATTTGATGATCATGTAAAATTATTTACCTCAGCTTTTAACCATCATTTTTTTTTGTGGGCATGCAAAAGTATCACACGGGTCTCCAATTTCATCTAAATTTCTTAGAGCATCAACATTCACAAAGTTCTAATAATATATAATATACAAATATTAAACTTAAAATTTAATTTTAGATGATATCTGTCTATAAAACCTGCTAAAATTAAGGAGAATTCTCAAAAAAAATATCTCTCTTTTCTTTCTTTCTTTTGTGGCCTCTTTCATAATTTTCAATTTTATTATTTTAATAGGAAGAACTTGGATGAAATATCAAGTGATGATGATGTCCTAATTAAGGTATATATACATCTATAGTAAAGCATGCGCATTGAGAGACTGAAAGATATATATTAGAAGTTTTTTTTGTCACTATATATTAGAAGTTTAGATTTTAGAACCTCATTTTGAGGACTTCTTTACAATAAAGATGTTTTTACCAAAAAAAAAAGGATTTTCTTACCACTTACAATGTGTAACCAACATTATTTGTGTGTGTCTGTGGGCATGCATAAAGAAGATCACACGGGTCTTCCAATTTCATATATACCAGGAGAAATATCCATACATTATTATAAAATAAAAATATATAATCCAAAAGAAAATACTAATTAATAGTAGTTACACATGAGGACAGATAACACACGTACGATCTATAACCTCAAAATAAATATAAAGCAGAAAAACAAAACACACAAAAATAGTACACACTCGCTACTCAGTACTAGTGTACCGCCTCAGGCTCCATTTTTATCCAACCCCACCGATACAAAACAAACACAACCGTTTCTCTCTCTTTCTCTCCCTCTTTCTCTTTCTTTTATGGCGACGATGATGGAGAATAGCTATGGTTACACCGGAGAAAGGATACAGTTGATGGTGGAAGGTCAAGGCAAGGCGGTTCCTGCACCGTTTCTGACCAAAACGTATCAGCTTGTGGACGACCCCGCGACGGATCATGTTGTTTCCTGGGGAGACGACGACACGACTTTCATCGTTTGGCGTCCACCGGAGTTCGCTCGTGACCTTCTCCCAAACTACTTTAAACACAACAACTTCTCTAGCTTCGTTCGTCAGCTCAACACTTACGTAAGTGGTCTCGTCTAAAAGAAAAGAAGAAAAAAACAATCTGTTGTTTTGATCTTGTCTTGTCTTGATTTGGTAGATCTGTGTCTGGTTTTTGTTTATAGGGTTTTAGAAAGATTGTTCCAGACAGATGGGAGTTCGCGAACGAGTTTTTCAAAAGAGGAGAGAAGCATTTACTCTGCGAGATTCACCGGAGAAAAACATCTCAGATGATACCAAACCAACACTCTCCCTTCATCACTCCGCCGCAGATTCCATTCTCCGGCGGCTCTTCTTTCTTCACGTTACCACCGCGTGTCGACGCCACCGCCGTCGCAGTGGACGACCATTACTGGTGCGAATCTCCGCCGCCGAGACCACGTGTAGTCCCCACCACCGTCGACGCGCAAGTCGCCGTCTTAACCGAAGACAACGAGAGGTTACGGCGGAGCAACTCGGTGTTAATGTCGGAGCTTGCTCACATGAAGAAACTCTACAACGACATTATCTACTTTGTTCAGAACCATGTCAAGCCTGTCGCTCCGAGTAACACTTACTTATCCTCTCTCCAACAGAAACAGCAACAGCAACAGCCTCCTCCAATCGATTTTTACAATAATGCCACTGTCCCTAATCACTCTCCTCCTACTTCTCAAAGCTCCATTACTGTTCTCGAAGATGACACTAATCCCGAATGTAATGCGAGGAAGACGAAGCTTTTTGGAGTTTCGTTGCCTTCTTCCAAGAAGAGATCACATCATTTCTCAGATCAAAGTGGCAAAACTCGACTTGTGTTGGATAAGTCAGATCTTGGATTGAATCTCATGACTGCTTCTACACGTTAAGAGTCGCTCTCTTTTTTTTTTCTTTTCTTTTTTTGTTTAAGTATCAGCATTATCAGCACTAATGTTGTTTATCAATGAACATCAATCTTAAAAGACTTTGTTTTCTTTGATTAATTATCTTCTTCTAATCGATTGAGAGTTTTCAATTTTGTTTTGTTGTTCATGAAAAGTGAGAATGACAGTGATGTCTAATGTAGATAGGCTTTTAGTTTACTTTATGCATTTTCGAAATTTTCTATGTGTTTTGGACCGATCTTGTTTGTTGATTTCTTTTATTTAATGCTTTCACATGTTTCTTTCTTTTTTCGTGCTTGTGTTTTGTTTGTTCTCATTCTTTTTCCTAATCAAATCAACCACGTCATTTGATTCTAGTCAAACTTCAAATCGCTGCCTTCTATCATCGCTTTCATGAACCGAAAGTGAGGAACCATATCCATACATTCTAGACAACAACCCGGTTATGTCTTCGCAGATGCTTCAATTCTGGCTAGCTTCCTCTCCAACAACCAATCGTTCTGACTCCTCACCATACTAAAGGAGTTCAGTTTTAGGCTTCTGTATGGGTTTATACTATCATTGGGCTTTACTAAAATCTTCTCCCTTATCGGGCAAGGTCCACTAACCAAACACTAAAATCTTTGACTTGTATTTTTTCTTACTCCTTTAAAGAAAAGTTTCAAAAAAAAGTTTTTATTGCTTTTGAATACCAAGAAAAAAAAAAGAAATTCGGAGTCGAACGAGAGGAAAAATGTGCGTCGGGGGTCAATTGTAACAAATTTCACATATCCAGTATAAAACATAATTACGCATATTTAACTCCATAGCCAAAATTTACAATTTTTCACCTCTATACCTTTTCAGTTATACATAGGGCCGACCCTGAAAAACTGGGGACCTAAAACAAAATTAAAAATAGAAGCCTATATACTATATATAACACTATCATAAAAAAAAATTTATAAAGTAGTGAGAACAAAAATTTATTGGGGCATTATGTTATTTGGCCCAGTCAGTTACATATTTAATAAAACCATAATATATTTGAAGCCTATGTAATTTATTATTCATAATTATGGGTTATATATTTAAACTGATTTGGAGACAGTTTATTAGCGGGAACAATTCCTGGCCACACATCTCACTCCCCCCGATTGATGGTCCAAAATTAAGTAGTACACTAGGATAAGACTGATATCTGCCACCGGATTCATACCGTTGGATTCGCGTTTCTGCTTTATTCTGGACAGTCCGGATTAGAAGATCCATCTTCATCCTCATCCTCTCTTGTTTTGACATCGACACACCCCAAACGAAAGAGATTAAGGCTAATCTAATATTCTTACTAATCATGAGATCAACGATCCATTCATCAGCCTGCCTAATTCCATGTTTGTTCCACCTCAAAATTACATTAAGAGCTAGTTCCTAAGTTTCCCATTTTTTTATCAATGAACCTAATTTCTGCATTTTTGTTCCAGGAGGTCAGCCATGGAAGATCATTGTATGGTCATACCAGGCGAATGGAACTCATGTGATTCTCTGTGGAAGTTTGCTATAGATCAAAAAAGGATGTCAAGGATTGTACCTGTTCGCCTGGGGATGTCGTTGCGTGACTTACAAAACAATGTCGTGAAGGAGTTCTTCACCTTTACCGACCCACCACCACTTGTGTTTTGAGCTATTGGCCACCTAACACCAAAGAAATCGCTACTGGACTCACAACACCACCGGTTATTCTGTCAAACGATGGAGCCGTCGCATACTTTTTCCATCATTTTTCAGTTCACCGAACCATGAATTTGTTTGTCACCTTCGACACGACAGGAGACATGCAGCAAACGAGTCAAGTCGATGAGAATCCTTTACCATTCACAACACCAAACCAAACTATGAAGCACAATCTCAACCATTTCCGCCCCTCTTCCACATCCTCATCAAAGTTCCCCTCTTTTTCTCTGTTTGATGAAGATGAGCTACTACAAGATATTCCCACAAACCTCCAAAGGAGACCAGAACCCCCCCTATACTCTGCTGGGACGAGTACGCCTTCGTTAGTTCCTTCAAAGGTACAACGAGTATCCATTAACGAGGAAACTCTATCTTGTGGAGATGAACTGCTACAACAAATGTTCAACGAAGACCCCGACAACATCCTAGACGACTGGATTATCGATGATGATGAGGAGTTGGTTTCTGAAAGTTCCCAACCTGCAGACATTGAATATGTACTGCCTCGTGGATATGATAAATATTTTTGGGAGCCTTTGCTTAACGACACACTTGGTGGGTCCGATGCAGCTGATATCATGGCTGGTGTTGATGTCCCTAAAATTGCCCCTAACGTCATCCACTGCACCACAGGTGATGCTTTCGAGCATACAGTCCGTACGTCCGGTGAGGATCCAACTGAGTGGAAGAAAGATCTCGACTATCTTGGTGTACACCAACAAGCTACACCTCGTGTACACGACCCTTCAGCATCCACACGTACACCAAGACGCGACTCGTCCACCTGTACACCCGGTTCAGCGTACACAAGCGACACTCATCAACCACCACCTACCCCACCCCCACCAGTGCGCGAGACAAGGCCACTTTCTGAGATAAGCGATGAGGAATTCGACTTACCTCCTCTGTCCGACGATACCTCATACCAAGCTGAAGCCATTCCATACCTCAATTGGGAGGAATCAGATGGTGTACCTGTTGTTAGGAAGCTATACACCAACAAACAAGACAGCCAAATCAGCTTAGCAATCTATGCTATCAAGTAACGCTTCCACTTCAGACAGACGAGGACCACAAGGCATTCTTTTTTTCTTAGTTGCCACGACACCCGCTGCAATTGGCGCATCCTAGCAAAAGAACTGACCAGTTGTGGGTACTACACCATCAAGAAGGCACAACTTGACCACACCTGCCCATTTGAGTCGCACAATGACTACAAAAAAGGGACACATCAAAAGTAATCGCCCATGCCTATCGTTCTCGGTATGGGGATCCAAACCAGAGTCCTAAAGCAGCTCAGCTGCAGCAGCTTGTACTGAGGACCTGCGGGTCTGTGCTTCATACATGAAATTCCACATGGCTAAATCTCAAGCCCTTAACCTCACCGTTGGCAAACCAGAGGAGTCATACCTCAGCCTAGCCTATTACTTTGAGAGGCTCAAAGCGACAAACCCCGGTACACAAACTGCCATATAGACTGAATTAGATGATTTTGGTGAATCTCGTTTTCTCTACGCCTTTCTTTCATTTGGTACTTCAATCCAGGGTTTCCGGCGTGTGTGTCCTGTTCTTATTATTGATGGCACACATCTTTTTGGGAAGTATAAAGCGGTACTCCTAACCGCCAGCACGCAAGACGGTAACTTCCAAGTCTTTTCTCTAGTTTCGCAGTTGTAGACGGGGAGACCGACAATGCTGAGTATGGTTTCTTTCTATGGTTGAGAGTATTATAGCGGACTCCAATACTCTTTCTATTATTTCTGACCGTCACATCTCTATTGTTAAAGCCATAAAAATCATCTTCCCCAAGGCTAACCATGGCGCATGTATCATGCATATACAATGTTGTCTCCCGGTACAAGAGCAAAGGGCTGGCGAAAATGGTTTGTGCTGCTGCGTTCTCCTACAAACGTAAGGAATTCGATGATAACTTTGGAAAAATAAGGCAAGCCAATTCTGACTGCACAAAATACCTTGAAGACATTGGAACTTCCAGGTGGTCTAGGACATACTTCCCAGGAAACCGCTACAACCTCTTGACAAGCAACGTCGCGGAGAAACTCAACAACGCCTTATCCAAATCTCGGGATTCACCAATCGTCGAGCTGTTCATGTTTATCTAGCGCATGTTAACTCGATGGTTTTCCGCAAGAAGAACCAAGTCCGCCAAACACAGGGGTTCTGTCACCCCTGAGGTTGATGCTGTTATGCAGACACACATTAGGCTCACCAAAGGTACTAAAATCAACAACATCACTGACTGGCAGTTCCAGGTGAAAGGAATTTTTGGCCATGGCAACACTGTTTACCTCGACAACAAAGTTTGCACTTGCCAAGTTTTTCAGAAACTTAAAATCCCCTGCGGACACGCGATGTTGGAAGCTAACTCAATTGGGTACCCTTATGTCCAGCTTGTTGGGGACTACTACAAAACTCAGTCATGGATGGAAACCTACTCTGGTGTCATATATCCTGAAACACCCTTGGGTGAACTCACCATACCTCCAGTAATAGCTACTCTAACTCTATATCATCCCTATACTCGTCGTCCCTCTGGCCGTCCAAATGACAAGCGCATCCCGTCCACTGGAGAAATTCAGATAACAACATACTGTCCCTCTCCTTCAATAATTATGGAATTTACCACGCTCCATATCCAAGGTACCTAAGAAGACAAAAGTCAACAAATGCGGTCGTTGTGGTGTCTCGGGACCCAACAGGACCAACTACGTCGTCCCCGTCTGAGGTGTTCGGTGAATCCTATCTCCGCAGGAATCTTCTTTTGGATAGCGCCTTCACCCTATAACAGCCCCTTTTGTTTTTTTTTGTTGTATGCTCATGTTAAAACTCATATAAACATGTAATGGCTGTGAAGCAGGCGCTTATTTTGTTTGCTATTCTATATTCAAATATTGGTATTCAGAAACCAGGAGTGCATGTTATTAGACAACCCCCTCATTTTTTAGTACGCCTTCGCTCTGTATCCATATGGACACATACTGAAGGGATCAGTGTACACACTATACATTGTCCACCTCCTACAACGTTAAAAACTACACCGTAACGCTGTACACAATCAAACATGTACATCCATTTGTATACGAACATATCTACATGAGTACTTTCCACACCAACAGCTTTATATGTTCTTCCTCCCACACTATATATTATCTACTCATCCACGTGGACACCATCAAACCTATTTTCAGTGTCTACACTATTCAGCACCAACTTAGCATATATTATCCATTTGCAGAGAGCCTTCAATGGATACTTGTTCGCAGTGGATACTTATATTGAAGCCTATCCACAAAAAATACATACAATGTGTACACCATCAAACCTAGTTCTTACTAGCCACGTGTACAATGTGTTCCTATGTGTACACCATCAAGCCCTGTTTTAACATGTTAAGCTGTACATCATAAAAAATGCATGATACATGGTATACCATTGCACACGAACATCTTCACACTATACATTTATCCACTCATCCATCGTGTACGTACAAAGGTGTTCACATAAAAAGGCATGCATCGTGGACACATCGAAAATACGGCACACACGTGGATAATTGTGTATCTACACTGCAAAACACATGTACATCTGTTGGTTTATTCCTACATTGCAGAGGCTGGATGGCATAGACGTGGATAATTGGATGTGTACACGGAAAACACATGTACATCTATTTGTTTATAACTACATTTCAGGGGCTGGGTGGCGTGGATAATTGGGTGTGTACATAGTAAAACACAAGTACGTGGAGTATTTGGGTGTGTACACGGTAGGGTCTGGCTAGTACGTGGATAATGTGGTGTGTACACGGCAAACACAAGTACATCTATTGGTTTAACAAAGAAGCATCCATCGCATATACTTACATTGAAGCCTATCCATAAAAGAACACCTACACACAAGAATACCTACATTGTAAACCAACAGAATACATTGTAAACCAACAGTTGTACATGTGTTTATCCTGTACAATACTTAGTAGCAACCTGTACAACATCAAGCCCTGTTTAACATCCACCCATCCAGCTGCATCTACAATGGTGTTCACACAAAAAGGCCTTTTCCTTGATACTACGAAATACATGGACTTCTAGTGTACACGTGGATATTATGTATAGTACACAGATACTAACATTAAAGCATATCCATCGCAGAGACACTTCAATGGACACTCGCTCACATTGAAGTATCCATCGCAGAGATACTTCAATGGACACTCGCTCCATATAGTGTGTGCACCGATCCCTGTGGTATGTGTCCATGTGGATACAAAGAGACTTGAGAGTCTTCCGTGGATAACGGTTTGTGTACACGCCATAACACATGTGCATCTCTTGGTTTACAAAAAGAAGAATACGTCGCAGTTACTCGTCATTACTGGAAGTTAGCGTGTACAATCATTTTATCAAACATACTCTATGTGTTTGTGTGAATACTAAGATGGGCCATGTAAGTGTACACGGTAAATAATCGGTTCTCGCCCATACATCAAAAACACCACGTGGATCTGTTCGTCAACATATTTTGAATTCGTACACCACAAAGACGCTGGGTAGTGTATCCGTGGATATTGGTGTGTGTACACGCCAGAAAACATATACATCTGCTGGTTTGCGAAAAGAAGAATCCATCATGTGGACGAGTGCCCATGAACACGCCACACACTTATTGCGAGCGTGTACACTAAAGAATCACTCACGGGGACGCCAATCACTCTCAAAACTGGTGTACACCATCGATATACACATGCTCTTATAGTTAACCGTGTACAATGAACTAATTAAAGTGTACATCATCAACAAAATACATGATTAACATATGAAAACATACATTAACAAAATAACACATACAATCAACGATCGTACCTACATCGTTTTATCGGTACAACTTCAAAAAGTTTGCAACCGAACAAAAAAAAAACCCATGTTGCCAAGCCAAATCAAAGTTCAGTTTCAAACATCTCATCCCACGTACAAAGGCACCACCCACCTCCTGTACACATCCATTGCATACTGCTTCCTAAAGATGTCAACAACCTCACCACTTAAGCCACCTTCTGCCACGTCCATACCATTAGCATGCATCTCCATAAGTTTTGCAGCCACATGCACACAATCTCCACCGCAAATGTTTTCATATACACCACCAACTCTCTCAATCAAGAACGGGACCAGCTCATGCTTGCAAACATCACCCGCCGGGCACACTTTATGGGCAATGTATGGAAGCATCCTTGCCGCATCATCCATTGCCTCTACCACTTCTTCCTCTGACCTCATCGAGGGGGTTGGGTCAAGCACCAGAACTCTCTAATCTGAAAGGCTAATGCACAATCCTACCCAATGACTCCCCCCCACTTCATAGGCGTGTACAACATGTCCACTTCAACACCCTATCTCATATTTTTCTTTGTGAGGAATTTCGTTACCCTCGCGTCCGCCACCACTACAGTTTTATCATTAGCAGCGTTAAAAGACCTCACTCTTTCTTGTAGATTCCCCGCAAACCATGGTGGAATGAACATACCCTGATTCATCAAAACAGCCCCACCATGTCTCTCCTCAATAAAATTCATCAACACCTCCATATGCTGTCAAACAAACAAATTTAACTAAATTTTATCGCACAATCATACTCAGAAACTAGAAAACATAAATAACACTGCTAGCTAGTTACCTTTGAAGTCAGCATTTTCTGTGCTGTAGCAAACTCTATGAAGAATTTGTTGTCCAGATCATGTTCGCCTCCCGCTTTTACATGCATCCTTCGGGCGACACAAATATTATCAGCAAACAGCCTTATCATAGAGAAAAAAAACTAGTTACCCCACACTCATGCTTCTTAAGTAGCTTCCAAAACCTTCTTAAACGTGAGAATATCACAGTCCTCAACTAAAGGCACTATTTCCGAAACTACATATGGATCCTTCGTCAACAACAATGCCGCGAGGTTGGTTTCTTCCTCCACCGGCCTGTGTGTTGTAATCCACACCTCAGGCACCACACGGTGCCCCCAAATCAAGGCTTATATCTTCGCCCCCCTGCTAAGCTTACCTGCACCACCGCTTTCTATGAAATTGGACTTCACATGGACACAACAGATAGCGTACACATGGACACAACAAATATAGTACGCTACACACTCCCAGTCCATTATCCACGTGGATATCAAACTGTGTCCAACATTAGTACACATGGACACAACAAATAGCGTACACATGGACACAACAAATATCGTACCTGCTCCTGCGACAATTCCACAGTTTTCTCGGGTAATACAAACTTAGTGTAGGCCTACACCCGTTCCTCACACTGCTAAAAGGTTACTCTAATTTCCAAGAGGTACAAACCGTTTAATATAAAGAGATTAATAAACTACAAACATATTCGGTTTGAATAACTGTACCGGTTCCTTTACGCCAGCATCACTCATTTCCATGCCACTCCCAGATTTACTACCGTTCCCGTACAAAACACAACCCCTTCCACGTTTACGATGTACATCTTGTACTCCCAACACATGGAGAACATATCTATCCTTGTGGACACCATAACGGTGACATCCAGTTGCCTAACCTGTTTTTCCAACGACTCAGGCTCTTCAGCAGCTACCCCCGCCTCAGTTATCGCCAGATCCTGCTTTGATCGACATTAAATAAAGGGCCCATTCCAAACATCGGTATACACACCATAATTATAACATAATTTTCACGTACTACTATTCTGACACAAAACTCTTCAGGTTCTTTTGCCCCATCGTTGCTCGCTTCCAATCCACCTGTAGCCTTCTCCCTCAACTACACATCACACACACAAACATAATTTTCAACGTACGACTATTCTGACTTTACATGGACACAACAAATTGCGTACACATGGACACAACTTCACATTATTCACGTGGATATCAAAACTCTGTCCAATATTAGTACACATGGACACAAAAAATAGCGTACACATGGACACAACAAATATCGTACCTGCTCCTGCGACGATTCCACAGTTTTCTCGGGTAACACAAACGCAATGCAGGACTGCACCCGTTCCTCACAATGCTAAAAGGTTACTCCAATTACCAAGAGTTGCAAACCGTTTAAAATAAAGAGATTAATAAAATACAAACATATTCAGTTTGAATAACTGTACCGGTTCCTTTAGGCCAGCATCACTCATTTCCATGCTAGTCCCAGATTTACTACCGCTCCACTACAAAACACAACCCCTTCCACGTTAACGATTTACATCTTGTACTCCCAACACATGGGGAGCATATCTATCCATGTGGACACCATAACGGTGTACAACCAGTTGCCTAACCTGTTCCTCCAACGATTTACGTTAAAACATACCATATCATTGTCAAAGTTTAATATCATTGTACACAGCCATATCATTGTACACAGCCATACATGTTTCGCAGCAGGTCCTTCAGGATCACCACTGTTCTGAACACCCGTCTCATCTCCCCTACCTGCAATCCCCGCTATCCCATCACCATCAGCCACGTCGTGGTCAGAAACTAGCGTACACCCTCTCTCATACTGCCTACCGCTATCTCCCAAACCATCACCATCCACTCCCTTCTTCTTTTTGGAGTCTCTTGCATTTTTCCTAACCAACTCACGTCTCCTACCAGAATATTTCACACCGCTGCCACTCCTTCTCTTTTCCCGTGCAACAAGCTTCTTAACCGTCTTCTTCAAATATGCCACCTCCTTTTTCAATTCTTCAACTTGGGTTACCAGCCCAGAGATTACACTATATCCCCCACATTCCGTCCGCTCGAAATACTGACTGACACGGCGCTGTTTCATGGAAGGGCCTTCCCTTTTACCTTCTTCACAATCGCCCCTCTCAATTACCATTCTCTTTTTCTTTTTGTAACTGCCATGGATATAAAGGTCCACACACATCTCACCACCATCCCGCTCAGCTTTATGGAACACCCTCCGTGCTTTTAACTCCCCAGCCATGTACGCGACTTCCTGATCCAGCCTCTCGTCGTCAAATGGCACACAATCTCCCCCACCGCGAGCTTGTATCTCGAGCATTGGTCGCACAATAAGATGTTAGTACAACAAAATACAAGGTAAAATAAACGTTAGCAAACTACAAAAGGTAGATCATCCGACTTGAAAAAGTGTTATCCCCTAAAACACCAATCTCTGTAATCTAAACGCGTGATAATGTACACTAAGTCCTACTTTTTCACAAAGACTGGAAGTCTATCTTCTGTACACTTATGTATATTGTACTCGTGTACACTTATCACGTTTTTTACTCATGTACACTGAATCATCAAACACCACAACATATTTTTATGCTGTCCACATGTACAACCCGTCTAGTTGTACACATTACCCAACTTACCGCATTCATTTACGTACCACACCAGCCGTATTCAATGTACACACCCCCCCCCCACATAGTGTACACTGCATATATTCTAATGTAAACCATACTCATAAACACACTATCCCACTATTCGTATTCGCGTGTACACTAATATATCGCCCCCCCCCAACGAACTGTCCCCCAGTAATGTATTATTATCCACCCGTACGCTACCATAGCCCTACAGTGACAAACTATAATCATTAAGGTTTTCTCAAATTCCTGCAGTCCTGCTTACCTCTGGATCATGCTCAGAGTTCCTAATATCAATAATGTTCAGACCAGCATGCTTAGGTAGGATGGACTTCTTGTATTCCTTTAGCTGCACATTGTCGTCACCCCCACCAAACATCTCACCAAACCAGGAATACACTCATATGCTACTAGCTGCAACGCCAAGGGAAACCCCACCATTTTGGTTGTCTCCTGCCTCATACGGTCCCGGAAATCACCAACAGGATCTTCAGCCTTCTCAAGTACCCTTGGCCCAGGCTTCATGGTGCTTATAGTCCACAGAAATGACTCACTCCCCCACGGGAATGCAAAGAACTTGCTCAAATCCTCCACAAGCTTAACATACTTCAAACTCGGTCTAGGTTTCTGCGACGTCGCCACCAGAACACCGTCAACAATTATTATGAGGCAGAGCCTCAGCCTATGCCATCCAGGATAGCCCTGTCACTGCCCCAAACCCCCAAACTCCACTAACAAAAACCTAAACGGATTTCCCCCAAAAATCGGCCATATCTCAAAAAATTTCTTCGTTACCGCTTGCCTCACAAGCATAGCATGCCCAAGCTTCCCAGACATCGAACACCTACGTGCTAGTAGTTCTAGCAGTCTCTCAAAAGGTGATCCAAGCAACAAATCCCACTCTTCCGAACCTTCCAACACATCTCTAGCAAACAGCAGCAGATCCACCGCTGAGTAGCAGTTCAACCTCCGGTCTGGAAAACAATCTGTAGTGAAGAGCCACTTAGGGAGCTTCTCGTCGACTTCATTGTGATCTTCTCCTCCTGAAAATTAAAATCAAAACAAAAATTATCAGCACCTACTAGAATCATACGGCTCTCAAACCGAAGCCTAACTCCAAAACCGAGCACCGCTAACCTCCCGCAATTTCTTTGCCCCGCCTTCTCCGTCGACTCGACATTTGCCGATCTGAAAACAAGAAATCGATTACTCCTTCTCCTCGTCGTCTCTTTATTCCTCTCTGTGTTCTTTTCCTCTTGTTCGATGCTCTCTGGTTTTGGAAAAAAGAAAACCAAAAGACAGCCAATAGCAATTAGGGAAACACTAGAAAACAGTTTAATTTATGTCTCGGGTACGTAACCAGATAAAAAAAATCTGAATTTTGAAATTTAAAATCACAACCAAAATTTTGCAATTAAACCTAACAATAAGGGTACCCAATTTTTAGTGATAGTTACACCCTTTAGAGGGATTATTTGAGTCTTTTCTCACAAAATTGTCTCTGTAGAAGAAACTGTCTTAGCATGGCAAAGAAATTCAAAAACTGCCTCCATGTGAAATTAACTCTCTATAAAGGAAATGGTATAAAAGTTTTTTGCCTATTTCATGGAACTTTTTTGGTCATTTTTTTCCTTGATGGATTTTTTGTGATAAAAAATTAAAAATGAGCTATTTGAGAGAATTTCCCTAAACTAAATTTACATTGCATGGAATAAGATATATTTGTTTCTGAATTATGTAATTATAAACCAAATTTTCTAAAGTATTACATATTTACATTTAATTTGGGGGGGGGGGAATCAAAAAAATCATCATTGTTAAATTATATAACAAATTAGGGGAGGTTTTACATATTTATATTCATATAGTTGGAATTAGTAGTTGACTTAGAAATTATAAAAAATAATTATACTTTAAAATTAGTCTGGATCTTGACTTGCACGACTGTACGGGTTTTTATACTATTTTTTTTAGTTTATATGATAAATTTAATCAGTAATGTTATATATCTAACTTTATAATATTGTTTATGTGACTTATAATTTTTACTGTAAATTTTTGTATTTTGTAACAAAAATTACTTTACAAAAATTAAAATGTAACAATTGTTATGAGATGTGTGTTTATTCCATAAGTAAAGGATCTAAAGTTCTAGAGATACCTATAATATTTTAGAAGATAAATCTCATAATGGTCATCCACATATGTAATTATCCATAACACCCCCCCCCCAGGATGTCCATTATGATAAAATGTTTTGTAAAACGCTGATGTTGCTTCATTAGAAATTAAAAACCTTACTAAGTAAATCCAGTAAGATAAACCATATTAAAGGAAAAGAATGCAACACGTATTACTCCCCTTCATAAAGACATAACTTGAAATATCTTGTAGGACACAATCTAATGTGATGAATTGAACTCCTTAGTCTTGGGCCTGGACTCGTTGATTTCTCTTCACAAATTTGATACTCCTCACTGAAACTTGAATATCTTGATGAACGTATGACAAAATGACTTCAAACCACTTGAATATCTTAGACCATTGGACTTCTTGTCCATAAATTACTTTCTCACAAAAGGTCATATCTGTTGAGGTCAAAATCGGTACGACAGAATCAGTAGCCAAAACTCCCCACAGAAATATAAAAGAAATCGTTTTATAAAACTCAAAGAACCGTTTTATAAAACTCGAGGAATCATTTTATAAAACTCGAGAATCATTTTATAAAACTCGAGGATCGTTTTATAAAACTCGAAGAATCGTTTTATTAAACTCGAGAATCGTTTTATAAAACTCGAGGATCATTTTATAAAACTCGAAGAATCGTTTTATAAAACTCGAGAATCGTTTTATAAAACTCGAGGATCATTTTATAAAACTCGAAGAATCGTTTTATAAAACTCGAGAATTGTTTTATAAAACTCGAGGATCGTTTTATAAAACTCGAAGAATCGTTTTATAAATCTCGAGAATCATTTTATAAAATTTGAGGATCGTTTTATAAAACTCGAAGAATCGTTTTATAAAACTCGAAGAATCGTTTTATAAGACTCGAGAATCGTTTTATAAAACTCGAGGATCGTTTTATAAAAATCGAAGAATCATTTTATAAGACTCGAGAATCGTTTTATAAAACTCGAGGATCGTTTTATAAAACTCGAAGAATCGTTTTATAAAACTGAAGAATCGTTTTATAAAATTGAAGAATCGTTTTATAAACTCGAAGAATCATTTTATAAAACTCGAGAATCGTTTTATAAAACTCGAAGAATCGTTTTATAAAACTCGCAGAATCGTTGTACAAAACCACGAAAAACTGAAACCGCCGTAAATCGCGAACTAGTCTCTTTCCGACTAGTTCTCCCAACGGCGAACTAAGCCGGCTGGCTTAGTTCGCCATTGGGCGAACTAGTCCCGTCCCGACTAGTTCGTCGTTGCCGTTGGGCGAACTAGAAGCTTCCCGGACAGTTCGCCGACTGACAAGCTGGACCGGTCCGGCTCGGTTCGCCGTACGTCGAACCGACCATCCCGAGCCTCAATCTCCTGCATCCCCGATTCAATGCTTACGTCCTTCGACACGGTCGTGTTCTGAACCACGGTCAAAATGTCTCCCGTTTCGTCTCGATCCGACCTATCATTCGAGTTTTATGATAAAAACCCGTAAAACTTTGTTTTCTCGAAAAGAACTCGAGGAAATCGTATAAAACGGCAACGGTTAAACGAGACACTGAACATTGCCTAAACTATACGATTTATTCGAGATATTTCGTTAAAATCATAAAAAACGCGTTTTTAATAAAAACGTCGAGAAACTCGTAAAAACGACAATGATTAACCGAGAAACGAACGTAGCTAAACTTTACTATTAACTCGGAGAATTTACTAAAAACGGCATCGGATCAGGAAACGATCTCGTATAAAGTCGTGAAACGGATTTATCGTAAAACGGCCCGAAAGGTCCTAAAAACGCGATAAATGCCCATCTCGCGATCTTAACGAAATCTAACCCGAAGATACGATAACGTTTTGATGGTTTACTCGCAAAAGGAAGATAAATGTCAAGTTTGAAGATAAATGGCAAGTTTGAAAATAAATAGAAGATTTCCGCGGGAAAAAAAGAGGATCAAGATAAATGGAAAATTCCCGATAAGCTCGAATTCGGGCGAAATGGAAGGACTAAAACCGCCTAGGAGGGAGTATATAAGCAAGAGGCATAGGGCAGAAGCAGGGACACGATTTTCAGAGCTTTCACCACCAAATTTAGCATTTAGGAATATTTCTGTTTTCTGTTAGCGAGCTGCGTCTCAATTAGGGTTTTCGGTCTTAGACTTCTAGAGTTAGGGATTTCGCCGACGGCTCACGCAGCTAAGGCCACTCTCGTTGTAGCAGTTCTTACACCGATTCGGAATAAAAACCTTCTTGCTCTCAATTTCGTTCACTCATACTTTAATTTTAAGTTCATCGTTTTTCTTAATTATTGTTGTGTGGTTCTGCAGATAGCCGGGTCCTCTGGAAACTTAGGGTTTGGCGCTAGAAGGAGGGGGGGGGTCAGATTTATCTTACACAAAAGCCGCAACATGTCCAACAAAGAAACGATGACTGGTGACCAACAAACTCGCAACGAACGCGACAACGTTGACGAAACACCGCCACCACAAGATGCGTCCGCGGCCAACGCTACAAACGCTAACGCCGAGACCATCGAAAAGATGCTTTCCGAGTTTAACAAATAATCGGAAGAGCAGGAAAAGCTCATTGGTTCGCTCGAAAAACGGGTTGAAACCCTAACTGCGAAAAACCAGAGCAATTCACCCCCGCGGAAAACTAAGATCCGCGGAAGGAGGCTCGATTTCGCGACTCCTATGGTTCGCCCCAGAACCGAGCAGGATAAATTACCGGAGAAAGATTCCAGAAAGGATAACCCTGACGCGATGCTACACGAATCAGAAAAATCTCATACTCACGAACAGGAGACCGAGGGCGATGGCATCGAAACGGTCAACCTGGAAATAGGCGACCAAGCCGACTCATCAGACGAAGACGCTGACGTCCATCCTAGGAGAAGAAAAAGTCGCAGTCCTCCACCAGAGTCTTCTCCCGAGCGTTCTCTTACTGGAGACGAGGAGGAACTCGACTTTGCGTGATATGCAAAAACTGCCGAGGAGCGATCTCCGGTTACTCGCAGCAAACTCCGACGAGGTCGGAACACTGCTGGCGATCTGACCGAGATTCGTGATCTCTGCGAGTACATCACTAAAACGGCCGCAGCGGTAAAAGCGGTGAAATCTCAGATTCATCACGCTACCAGCGCCGCACCCGAAATCGATCGGCTACTGTACTAATCTCAGAAAACGCCCTTCACGGCTTGCATCACCG